GCTGTTGGTTCTGCTTTATTTTGCATTTTAAAAAAGAATTTACCCTTCAGCAGAAGAGCACTAGGGCTGGGCATGGTCTTGGACAAAATGATGGAGGCTGATCGTCCTAAGCTTTCATTCGCTCAGTTGTAGACTGTAAGTGACTAATAATTTTAGTCACTGAAAGTATTCGTCTCTTCATTATCTCACTAGAGGTTTTTTTGTTTAATAATGTAAAGTAACAGGAAGGTAGTATATTTTTAAAATAATGTTGTAATGTTAGCAAGTTCAACATACGGGAGTGTGTGTAGTCTGCCTTGTGTCGTGGAGGTTTTATATTCTTCACAGTAAAGACAGAAAGAGACAGAAAGACAGAAAGAGGAAAAAGCAAATGTTTTCTTCAGTAACGAACGACTATGCTGGAGGAAGTTTTCTTCACAAGAGTGAATAACTATCTTTCTGCTCAAATGTTTATAGCTGATTGCAGGGCTGTGAGCCTGATGGTCACCTGTATCTGATATCCTGGCTTTAACAGCCTCGCCGGAGGAGCGTGGTGCTGGTGTGACTGATTCACCCGGCCCCCTGTGAGCGTGTCCATCCCCCCCAGGCCCTGGCCACCGGCCTCCACGGGAGGACGATGTGACCCGCGGTGGATGGGGACCCCGAGAAAGGAAAACTTCACACCACCATAAACGCTACCGCACCCGACTTTATTAAAGTTTGAACCTTGAGCCTGGTTTGAAAATCTTCGGTAAATGATTAACACAGAAATGGCTTTGGTTAAACAACTTGATTTCTACAGAGCTCACTACTGTAGCTGCATCTTCTTGTCTTTAAGTCTCTCCATTTTACCCCCATATGTTTCCTTGACTGGAAACAATAAATGTATTTATACAAACAAGTAAAATTAGATTACACATAAATAGTTTCTGAAAGTACGTGGGAATGGAGCTTAGTACCCTTAAACAAATAACGCCTTGCCTCCCAAAATAAAATCTCATTAAAGTTTTTACAAGTCTGAACCCTTAAAATTTGGAATTTTTTTTCCTCTCTCATCTATACTTCTTGACTTTTTCTTTTATTTAGATAAGAATCATAGTTTATTAGGTTTTTGTTGAGTTTAAAAACATTACTGCAAATAACTGAAAGGTAACTTTTTTGTTACTATTACAGAATCTGAGAGTGTAACTTCCCTCCCTTACCTCTTCTTTAGGAAGTGGTTCTTTGAGTTTTACTATGTATAAATTTATAGGTAAAAGATTTATATTAAACCTCAAGCCAGTTTGTTGTAGCTCTTGCAGGAGCCCTTATGCACTATAATCCCTCCTGTTCTCCATGATTCAGGCAAGCAAAATTGTGTTTTACACAACCAGGGGACTGTCAGTGTCTGGCAGCTCTCCACACAGTTAGTAAATATTGGCCTTATCTGATACAGCCAGGCTTGAAAAGATATGCCAGAAGCCCAGATTAGATTGCTGGCTACTGCTTTATTAATCAATGTAATAATTTATTTTTAGTTTTGTAAGTCATATCATCTGTTTTCTTTCTCATATTACATTTTCTGTGGTACTGGTACAGAAAATGAGCCCTGTTTAAAAATTAAAGGTGACTGAAAAGTTTCAGTGGAATATGTTTGACGCTACCATAGTTTCTATGACAGTTGATGAATGTTTCCTTAAAAATGCTTTTGTCAGAAATTCGTAAGGTATAAAGAGTTTAATTTTTGTATCTGAATTAGCTGTCTTGAAAACTATGCATAGAAAGATGTTTCCATCTTTTTCCTGGTTTTAATCACTTTAAGGAAATCAAGTTCTCAAGTTATATATTCTTTATGTAAAATCATAGACTCCCAGCCTATATTTCAATGTTATAACTGAGATTTTTAGTATAAGAAAAGGAGCTACTGGGCCTAAAACTTTAAAGAAAATAAGGCAACTTACAGTAGCTTTTGACTGGCCAGTGATTACTGTTTTTAATAGGGGGTTTTGTTTGGTTTTGAGATAAGTGTTGGTTGTTTTTGTGCATATGACACTAGAAAGCAGAGAAACAATTTAATTCCTTTTTCCAAATGGGTCAGTAAGCTGGGGGGCACGGGACATCACAACAAACCAAACAACAGAAGAAAGTAACACATGTATTGCATGAAAGGAAGCAAAGCTTTGTGGTTACAATTATTTGCCTAATTAGACAGGAAAGCCATGAGTGAGCAAAGAACCAAGTACAGGTTCTCAAGCCTGATGTTGTCCTCTCGTCTCTGGATTCCTTCTGAAATCTTAGTGCAACAGCAGACCTGCCCCAGAGCAAAGGAGACGTGCACGCTGCAGCCACGTTGCCTGGGGTCAACGTGAGATGGCGCAGCAGGCTGCAGTGCTCAGTGAGCTGCTCTGGCGGCGGTGGGGGGCTGCTCTGTACTTCTTGAGGCAACCCAAAGGGCACGGAGACCTTACCTCTGAACATGGAGTAAAGCTGAGATCTGCTGGGAAAGGCAGGAGCACCCAAAATGTGCAATACGTGTATAGTCCGTATTGAACATGTGGGCCAGTTGCATGGCGGGGAGGGGTCTCTTCAGCCAGAGGAGCTGGGCATCACTCAGCTGGAAGCATGGCTCCGTTGACTTGAGGTTGTAATGTGCCTTTCTTCAAAGTATGTGCCAGATCTCAAGCTGTGTGTTAAGGAGGCAGGATTTCTGAAAAGGCTGGTTTGTATTAACCAAATACCATCACGCACAGCCTTGGGACAAGAGGCAGCAGTAGATCTGAATCCTCAGCTTCCTTAACCATGAGGGTTTTTTTCCTGCAAACCTATACCCATTAGCTTCTCTCAGCCAATTTCTTCATCAGAGGAGATGGGATGCAGCGCCTCTGCACTGAGGAAGGCAGGCACGCTTTGTAGAAGTTAGGATGAGCATGTAATTAAAGATGTGTATTTGCACATCAAGTAAATGTAACTGGGTTGAATTACATTCTGCTATTACTTGGATGTTGAGTGCTGGATTGTGCAACCTTAGTATTTTATTATAGCTTTCTGCTCTTCAAAAGAAGACAATTAATTAGAAAACACAGAAAAGCCATCATATGGATCATAGGCAGGATTACAGTCTATTGCTGACTGCCATTTTAGTTGACAGACTAGCTGTAGAGCAATAGAGTAGAAGTGATGCAGCATTTCACAAATATTTTCTGAACGCAAAGGAGCGATGTGATGGGTTTGAGTTCTTTTCCAAGTTCTGAAAAGAAGTGTTCTTTCCTGGGTGGGCTTTTTTCTTCCCTTTTTCCTCACGGTTGACTCATTCTACTTCATTCCCACTTCCAGCCTTTCCTGTTGAAGCCTTTGTACCACCCTTGTTCTGGTCTTTTTCTTTCTTCCCACAGCTATTCCAGCATGTTCGAACTGCTGCTATGTTCCTGTCTGGTTTTTATTTTTCTGCTCAGCCCTCTCTGCTCTAGCTGAGAGACAGGTCACCTTCTCCCCTAGCTCATATCAGACTCTGTTTTTTAGGGGGGGGGGGGGGGGTTTTACTACTCTGAGAAGCTTACTTTTTGTTTGGGGGGGGGCGGGTGTCTTTGCGTGCCTGTACTGGCTCATTTTTTTCCCTAACACAAGTAATTTTCACTTTTCTCTTCCCTCTGGTTCCATATTTGTCCAAGTGTGGACTTCATTGACACATTTATTCTGGTTTGACTTCTATCCCTCTGTATTTGAGTGGTAGAAGTCCTGCTCCTTGTGCCTGCTTTTATTATCTAACTCCCTCCCTGTACGAGCAAACGCGACAGCAGAAGTCCTTGCAGTCACCAGACCAGCCATTTCTCAGTTGCTCTCTGGGGATGAAGCATATGGAGGCAACCTGTTCAAAAGTAAAGCCGCCCAGGTGTTGGAGTGTTTTAATTTGGGCTGGAATTTTAAGGTTTTTGTGAACGTTGGAGAACTATGGTTTTTTGTTTTTTTTTTTTTTTTTCAAATGTGTGACCAAATCTGGTCAGCCTTTCTCAAGGAGAGGAAAAGGAATTTTCCATGCAAAAGCCAGCCCACATACAAATGTTAAGCCCACATTAGGAAGCGTGGATGTTCTGGAGAGTTTCCGAGTAAAGGCACCAAAGTCTTAAAAAAAGTGTTATTTTCTAGCTTCATCTGGGAAGTGGCTGGAACCGTGTTGGACAAAATTTTCTGTGAAAATCACTTTAAGCATACAGTATAGAAATTGCATTTTAAAAGTTTAAAACTTTGTGAAAATAAACTCAACAATGTGCCTTGTAACAAGAGGTGTCGAGGCAGCCTTCAACAGGTAATGTGTCAGGTTTTGGCTGTGTGGTTCACGCTTGCTGAATAAGATTAGCCTCTGAACTTTGGCACAACCACTGTTGGTTCAGCCCTTATGATTAGAAGCAGCTCAAAGGTGATTACGATAGATTGTTTATTGTTGCAACAATGATTTTTTTGTTTGTTTGTTTTGCTTTTTGTTAAAGAACTAGCCCTTTATTTGTGGATGGCCTGTATGTTTATGTAGGAAAACCAGATCCTGAAATTAGGAGTAGACATTTTTTTCCTAAAATGCTGGGGTGAAATGATCATTTATTACTGTAAAATATGTCAATATATGGCTTAATTTGCACAGCTTCTTGCATAATAGTATCCCAGTAGAAAACTCTGTGATGATACTGGAAAGGAAGCTCTTGTAGGACTCAGTGCAGACTGCAGGGAATGTGACAGTAATGAAAACATTATGGAATAAGAGCGTGTTTTAAGAGTCAATTTTAAAGGCTAGGATAATTGTGCAAGAAACTTGGCTTCAGAGATGTGGCAGGGAAGTAATCTTGACCTAGTCAAATAAGCCGTGAAAAATCCATCCAGCTTTACTTACGTTTTACAAAATTCATTGGTTAACTGTTTCAGAGTCTAGTGAACTTTGTGTGCAGAACTGTAATATTTGAGGATAAGGGCAGTCTGTTTCTTGCAGTTATGAATATTAAGTTTGCCAGTATCCCATAGATCTTAATTAAAAGTATTCTTATGCTTCTTTTTAGCCCTGGAATGAGATCAGATGTAAGCTCTTCTCCATCCACAACCTCAGCAACTACGGGACCACCTCCCAAACTTTGTCTTGTTTGCTCTGATGAGGCTTCTGGGTGTCATTATGGTGTTCTTACTTGTGGCAGCTGCAAAGTGTTCTTCAAGAGAGCTGTGGAAGGTAAGACATGTTTTGATGAATTTGCTGTTTAAAAATATAAAATCCACATACATATCATCCACATTCAAAACCAGTCTATTCCAGTAAGAACTGGAATGCATGTTTTTGCTAGAATCCTACTGGAAAATCCCATCCATTATATCACTGATCTTTTCATAGTAAATAACATTGATAATGGTGTGGTTATCTGAAGCATAGATTCCATTTACATTTATAAAATGCTCCCATTCACTCACAGTGTAAAAGGATGTATTGTTGTCTTGGCTTTTTGTTTCTTTCGTTTGCTTTCACTGTTGTTTTTGTTTATTTGTCCTATTTATATACAGATATTTGTGTGCCTTAGATCTGTAAAGTTTGTGATTTTTAAGTTTAATGTTAGCTGGTTTGTGTATAAAACTGTACAAGAAACTTGATAAATCTCTTGTATGCAAGATTATGATAGTTTTACAATTTTTCCTATAAGCAATATGGATTATATTACATACATGTCCACGTGTGATAGTTGCAGGGGTAGCTAGATAACAGGAACATGTGTGTGGTTTTGAATCATCGAGATTCCTCTGTAATCACAGGAAGAAAATTGTTCTAGAAAATAGAGGTGATGGAAAACTAAATGTGAATCTGTAGTGCGTATAGCAGAATAAGTAATCTGTGATTTTTGGGCTGCATAAGTAGCCATTATGTAATGAACTAGGTTGTACCTCAATGTCTGACTCTTTGCTTCAGTATCAGGGAGATGCAGAAAAGTTAGGCTATATTCTCAGTGTCTCTGAAAGGGTAGTGATTCCTCTGTTCTGAAATTATGTCGTTCTTAGTTACAGCCTTACAGGGTTTCCTGTCTCGTGCCTTCTTCATGCAGCCATTCCTGGGTATTTTGAAGTGAATCAGACTGTCATTTTTTTGCTAACGTTTTTGCGAGTTGGGTTTCACTGAAGAGGAGGGAAGGCTGTTTTGACAAAGACGAGCCGCCATTCAGTCTTTCAGAAGCAGCACTTTCTCCCAGTTCCCAGCTCACTGGATGCAACAGGGACCTCCATGGAAATGCAGAGCCTCTTGGAGATCAGAAAAGTCAAGTTTGTATCTCAGTTTCTGCTAGTCACAAGGGGAAAGGATGTCAGTTCTGTGGGAAGCTGAAGCTGTTTCTGACGTATAACAAGAGATAATATGAGCTCAAGTGCAAAGCACTGAGCTGCTTAGGCTCTCCGTGACTCCCAGCTGGTTCTGTCTGGAGCTGTACTCACATTTAGAGCCAGGCTCTTTATCTGAAGCAAATAATCATCTGTATCTTTGATTAAAATAAGGTCACAGGATATCCCTCAGAAGTATGATATGGCAGCTGAATATATGTCATAGTGATGGCTTTGCCCATCCTCAGGCTTAAATCATGAAAGTATTGATACATGAAGAAATCAACCCAGTAACTCCTTTTGATCAGAGATGCAACTTGCCACGTCTTATATCGACTGTATTAATGTTAAAAATGTAAGCAGGGTTGTGGCTGAAAAATGACAATAAATTTCTCAAGGCTTACCTCCACTTTCATTGTTATTGTTCCACAGATTATCCCGACATTAATCCTTCTGATTAGATATTGTTGGATGTTTTCAGGAGCTCTTCCAGGATCTGTTAGTTCTAGTATTCACTTTAAGGAACAAATAATTTGCTTTTGTCTCTAATAGGCATTTTTCTTATTAGAGGCATATGTAAAAAGAATTTGGTTTTGTAATATCCTTTTTATTAATAGCTGCCAGGCACCTGTTAGTATACAGATCAAGCTGACTCTCCAAATCGGTTATCCAGACTTTAGCCTGAAACGCTTTTTTGTAGCTTTGTCTACACGCATGTGTACTGCGACGGAAATAGTCACAGAAACTGAAAGTATCAGTATCTAGAAAATCAATATAAAGAGTATTTCTTTCAGCACAGAGTAGAACTAGGAGAGAAGAGGAAGGATGAAGGTGGAATATTAATAAGCTGTATATTTATATAGTTCTTCATGCAAATGGGCCTTTCTTGAGGAACCCAGGATGGCCAAAGTCATCTTGTTCTAGTTCTTATTTTCATGGTGCTTCAGGGCCCAGAGCCCTCATGATGCATTTTCTCCAGTTCCAGAACCAACCCTGTTCACCGCCCAGCATGTCACCCCCTCCCTGCTGCCCACCCAGGTCTTCACCGCTCCTCCCCACCTCCACTTCCTCGCTTCCATCAGAGCCTCACACCTCCCCTCCACCAGATTTCCCCCAACACCACTGCCTCCTGCTGTGCTCCAGATTGTCCTTGTTCTTCAGCATTTTTAATTCCATCTCCCGAAATCCTTTGTCTGCGATTTCTAACCTTTTTATACACCGGTGTGCTCAAATGAGCAAAGGCTTATTCAATCTCATTGTGCTTCAGAGCCCCAGGCACCAACATGCTACGGGCGCTGCAACGTTGAAGAATGTCTAGCCTCTCTGTAAAATGCTCCTATCTGCTGTAAATTCCCTTGGAAATATCTCCATTTGCTCACGACCAATTTTTACCAGTGTTTTGCTGGTGAGGTATATTTGTCTGTTTTTTGAAATTTATTCCTTTGTGCAACTGGCATGTCCTCTGGGCAGCAGTCAGACGACGTGGAGCAGAAGGTGGAATCAACTTCCCTTCATTTTTCCGCAAAATGTTGATGTGACAAGAAGGCTTTAATATAATATAATACAAAGAAATAGTGTAGCTTTCACTTAAAAAGGCAAGAATAGGTAAGTAGTAAATACAAGAAATCAAGCTACTTCCACGGAGATGAAGCTCTTTGTTAGGTAAAAAAATGGAACAGCTCAGGAAGATCTACACCTGAAACATCTGTATTGGCTGTGTGAAACCATGGTCTCAGTTGAACATCTTTGTGAGACATGAAATTATAGGCTCTGTTCTGCTACAGTGGTGACTACTATTCATCAGTTTATATTTCATGTGTGTGCGTGTATATTTGTTCTATATGTGTTAGTATGCTAATGGTAAACAGAATTGTGAATCATGGATCTATTTTCGAAGTTCTCTTAAACACAAAGATGACACAAGGGTCAGTAAGGCTTCCTCTTCTTCAAATGAAAAAGAAAGGAGGGTTCATTCAGAAAAATGTTCAGGGCTTCCTTGGAATATCAAGGAACTTGAAACGCTTCACTGGAGAAGTTTGACTAAAGCCATAGTAATGGACTCTGCTTACCCATAATTTTCACAGCTGACTTGAAACAAATTCCTTAACTGTGCTCTTTTTCTGTGAGAAGACTCTTGGGCTTCATTGTTAATAACTCAGTATTTGGAAAATATGTTTATTTCTCTTGCTATTATACTACCGGGACTTTGAAATATAGTGTGAAAGCCTGGGTAGCAGCTTTCTCGCAACTAAAGAAACATCTGTTTTTAGATCCCTATCTGAGAGAAGGATGTCTTTTAGTAATACCTCTCTCTAAAGTTATCTTGAGACAATTATTCATATCATTCAAATAGTTAAGAATAGATAGTACTCTTCTGGTGTTCTGCTCTTAACAGCTAAGGAATACAGTTATTTTAATTTATGTAGCCCAAGTTGCTCTGAATCTGTGAATCCATAAAAATGTCAGAGAACTTAGTTTGTCCAGTTCAGACTCTTAAGTTAAACAAGAGGAGGTTTCATGACTTTCAAAATGATGAAAGCTATGTCTATTGTATACTTACAAAATGTGTTTATGAATGATATTTACATCTCTCGTGACACTATTTAGGGAAATTGGAAACATGCTATAGAAGATAGCTTTGAGGAATGTAAGAGAAAAATAGTTTTAAAAATAGGATTTGTCTGATGTTAACAAATAGAAAATAGGATTTCGTCCTAAATTTATTGGTTTTGGTGTCTAAGTATGAGAAATCTGTTCGGTGTGTAGACATATGAAATCGTGTGGATACTGATCTTATTTTTGCAAGAAATTAAGTACAGTAAGTAAAGATATTATATAGTCCCCAGATCCTTAACGTTGCTGAAAGAATGAATGACTTCATCTACTACTCTAATTGTAGAGCTTATGGTTATTTTGTTTGTCTTTGTGAATACAGGGCAGCACAACTATCTGTGCGCTGGGAGAAACGATTGCATTATTGACAAAATTCGGAGGAAAAACTGTCCAGCATGCCGCTACCGGAAATGTCTTCAAGCTGGCATGAACCTCGAAGGTAATTTAAAATTCTCTAATCCCTTTTTTATTTTTGAGTCCTAGACAACAAAGGTCATGCCACTTATGAAGCTAAAGCAATTATCTGAGCAGCACTTTATTATGGTAAAAGTAAGTACTGCATTTTGTGGCGTGTATGAGCATTTTAATGGAAGGCAAGATTTTTTTAATGCTACAATTTCTCCTATACTTTGCTATCCGTACGCAATTGCTCTCTCTCTCGGTATGTTCAGCAGAAGTGAGTCATGCACACAAAACAGAGTTATTTTTTATTCCTGTCAGCACATATATCTTGTTGCTTTTTCACTGAACCTGAGACAGCAGAACTGTAGGAGAACTCTTGTAGGGAAGTGTGACGCCAGCCCGTCCTTACTCAGGAGAGTGACCTGACACTGAAACCACAGATGAGAGGGAAAGCCCAGAGACCCAGATCTAAAGTTGGAGTGGAGCTTATATCTTCAAACTGAAGAAGGGAAATTATTTTTGTTCATGCTGTGGATTCTTCTTAAATGACTGTCAGAATCTCTCTAGAAAAGATAGGTTAAATAAATAAATTTAAATGTACCAGTACATATTTATTCTCCGCTAAGTCCTGGATGGCTTATGAGAAACTGAAGACCACATCAACTAGAGATTTAGCAGCAGTTGTAAAATGGTATAAAACATTTTTATTAGTGTCAGCTACATTTTATGCTTGATATTTTTTCCTTGAGCTGTAGAGATTAATACGGTACTTACTTGCATAGTTATCATGGTGATACTTGTATAATCAAAATTGTCAGATAAAATAAAAATGTCCAAAATGTATTTGTCAGATACAAATATGAACAGAGTTTCATTTCAGTCAGTGGAAATATCCTTTGGTAAAATGTAAGTGGTGAATTATGTTAGAGATAGATGATATGCATATTGGAGTCTATGTTAGCATGTCCTTTCTTCCTCTTCTGCTTCCAGCCTCCCTCAGGAGGACGAATTATCAGTTTTTATGCCCTGCAGGTTGCTGTACATGCCCCTTCCTTCAGAGCAAAGGGAAAAAACCCAACGGTCTGGAATGCTTCCCCTCCTATGATGTTCTTACAAGTACATCCCGTACTTCATGGTAGAGATTTGCAGGGAGGAGGGGAGGGAGGTGGCTGGTCGGTTTATTGAGGTGTTACTGTGATCTGTGTGCAGGATGTGAATTACATCTCTTAACAGCCAAACTCTACAATAGTGGGTTGAGGTTGTCAACGAGTGTCTCCCGGGAGCTAGATTTAGCTTGTCAGGCACTCCCAGTGGGCTGAACCGTGCACTTCAGAGATAATAGCAGGGTAGCCCACTTGCCTATTCTTGGTGTCCAAGGTGGGAAGATGCAGTGCCTTGCTGGGGCAGATGTGACCAGTAGCAAGCAGAGGTACGGTAAAGCCTAAAGAAAGTTCAGAATAGTGCAAAAAACCACAATTTTCATTGTGAGGTGGAAAAGAATACTTTTTTTTTTAAGAATTGTTTCTATTTTTTCTCTCCACAGTTGTTTTCAAAATACATATATCATGTTCATGTATTTATCTACATGAATAAAGGACCTTATTATGTATATTACTTTAATAGTAGGCCTTTCCATTCCTGCATCAACGTATGTGAACTCTTTTTAAAGTAGACACCAATATAGCTATCTCAGGCTCTGGGACATGTTAGAGTTGCCTTTCTGCACCAAAGAAAATTAAAATTGAATGACGTCTGATACTCGCCACTTCTCCGAATGTGGTTTGGAGCTCTTCCAACTATAGTTTGTTTGCCTGAATTATGGCACAGAGAATCCTAGAGAATACTGACTTTTTGGAGGATGGATATTGTTATAGAAGTTGTTGGAAAAGGGGGCAGGGGGCGGAGCTTTTATGACTGAGAGAGAAAAGAGATCTAGAAACTCAGCAACGCAAAAATGGAAGAACCCAAGGTGGTGTGAAACAGTGAAAAACAACCATGAAAACGACAATTTATCGGACAGACCTGAACAGATGGTGAATTGGTCGTCCAGAAGAACTTGCACAAAAGAAAACTGGAAGGCAGCGTAGAGTGCAGAAGAGACTAAAAAAGGGTTCCTTTTATCTTGGCTATTTTAGGGTCACAGTTCAGGAATTACTGTTGTTTAAAAGATAATTAAATTTGCATACCTTTTAGACAGTAATTTCTTTTTTAAAAGTCATCAGGTGTATCTTCAGTGCATAAATAATGTTTATAAGCAAACCAGTTAATGAATAGCAAAATATCCTAGCATGGCAGTCTGAAGGCCGCTTTCACTGAGCCTTACTTGCTGGTAGGATTCTTCCATGAACCTGTCCAGTCACATTTTTAGTATCTCTAGGTTTCTAATACCTACAATGAATTTCTCTGTTAGGTAATGGGTAGAAGACTAACTTGTTTTAAAATAAATAAATAAATAAAATCTACCATGCAGTATTTTAATTCTTACCTGCTCTTGTGCTGAGACAAAAGTGGCTCCTTGTACACTAGAAGCATGTTACTGGTAATTTTCTATTATAGTCTGGTTTATCATCAGTCATACCTTTGGCCCTACTTATCACCCTTTTCTGGAACTTTCTTGTTTCTGTTGCATGTTTTTTTGGGTGTAGGGGACTGGAAAAACATATAACTATCAAGCTACAGGCACCAGAGATTTATACGGTAGAATAATGATGTTTTGTATTATAGCCTTTATTCCTTTGAATTCTCATCTCCGCTTTCATCGTTAATTGACCCTAGGCGTTCTTTGGCACCCTTTGTCTTTCTGATGTGTTTGAAAAAAAGATTTATTGTTAGGTTTTATGCCTGTAAAAAGTCATCTCATAATTTTTTTGGCTTTTCATATACTGCATTTTATAGTTAAACTGTTGGCAATTTATGTTTTTTTCCTGTCATCTTCATTTTGAATTTATTTCAGTTTTTTGAAGGATCTCTTCCTCTTTCTGATATTCATTGCCCTGCTCTGTAACTGCAGTGGGTTTTATCATTATAAATCCCATTTTAGAAGCGAGGGGCATGGTCTCCGTGTCTGTCTGGCAGTGGTTGGTCTCCAGCGTGGTGGTGGGAATGTTTCATCCCCTCCCGGGCCGGTGAGCTGCCTGCGTGGCTCCCGTGCGCAGGCCATCTGCCCAATGGGCAGGAAACGGGCGCAATGAAATAGGAAGCATCCAGCCTCGCTGGGTGCCAAACTGCAGGGGGGTTGGGGTTTGGGGGGGTTGTTTGTTTTTAACAGAAAATCTTGGATGCTTTTATTTCCATGCTCAGTTTATCTGTATGGATTATCTTCTGTAATTTGCCCTAAGGAGCTGGTTTTAAATTTGTGGTATTTTTATATTTGAAAAAAAAAAAAAAAATGTAAAGAAATATATTATCTCAACCTTCTTTTTTTCTTTTTTGTGACTTACAGCTAGATATCTAAGTCAGGTCTAGTAGCATAGCCTAATAAAAATTCTTGCATAATACTTTGTCTTATCAGATATATTTCTTTTTATTATAGTTTTACCAGACTTTCTGGGCTGGATATACTCCATACCAGGTGTCTGCATTAAGCTGAAGGCATGTGAATATAAATTTAAGTCAAAGCAGTTTGTTTGCTTTTGAGAACAAGGATAATGGGGCAAAAAATGCCAGAATGTTGAAAGGATTTTGGAGCAGCCATTTCAAAATTTAGATGAGAATAACAGGCAGCTCTTTGCTCCAAGGAAATAACTGTTGCTATTCCCCCATGACAGTCATGGCAAATGCGGCCAGCGTGTAAGCCTTTGGGAAAACGTAATTTATACAAGGTCCATAGAGAATTTCTTATCTTTAGCAGTTACTTTCTGAAGTCTCTGTCCTAGCCAGTGGGAGAAACAGGGTCAGGAGGGGGTTTTTATACATTGTTAAGCTTGGTGCTTAACACCACCGGTTAAGAGTTGGTGCATTTCTGATGATGAGAGTTTCTGAATAGGTCAGTAGAAACTTTGAATGTGAAACCACATTACATGATGCTTTTATGTGCTACTGATTTATCTTGGAAGTTCCAGAACAGAAACCAATTAATGAATTGAGACACAGAAGAAGAACTGGGTTTCATTTTGGGCTCAGTTAAATAGTGCGTTCAGTGTAGCAGGCTGCGTCCAGGAGAGCTGAAAGCCAAGTAGGAGACTCCATTATTGACAATATGGTTATAAAATTGTTGCTCCAACTTTTTGTAGTTTACAGTTAACATCTCTGTGTGATGTTTTATTTATTTGGCGAATGAGTTTTATGGTTTAATTACGCAGCAATGATTTATATGGAAGAGAGCTGGCAAGAGAAAAATCTCCTCCTGCCCAGCGTTTTCAAAAAAATGTTTTCCCTGGCTCGAGAGATTGAGTAACTTCTTACCCATTAAATACATTTTTTCCTTTCTTCTGTATGGTTTCTATACTTCATATTTTAAGGAACTTACAAAGTGCGCAGTCTTGCAAATACTTCCGAACAGGTGTCATGCTGTCACATGAGGTTTCACTGAAATTTTGCCTGTCACAGAAATTGTAGGATCAGGCCTTGTCTTTGTGCTACCTGCAGATGTTATTTAATGTTTTGAAACGTTAACTTAAATGTGACTTTCATTAAAACGTAAAATAAACTTATTTTCACAGGGAGCTTAATTAGAATTGGAAGTGAAATTATTTACAGATTTATGAAAAAATGCTTTAAAATTTCGACTGCCTGATCTACAACTGCAGGAAAACGGAAGCAGCATTTCCTCCGTTACGTTTTTATTGCTGTGTGGTCACTTTCCATTATCTAACCTGTGAGTTACCAAAACTTTCCTAGCTCGAAAAACAAAGAAGAAGATAAAAGGAATTCAGCAGACTAACGTAGCAGGAACGCGGGATGTTTCTGAAACGCCTGGAAACAAGAGCATCGTTCCTGCCTCCCTGCCGCAGCTGACCCCGACCCTGGTTTCCCTGCTGGAAGTGATTGAGCCAGAGGTGCTGTACTCGGGCTACGACAGCACGCTGCCGGACTCCAGCTGGCGGATACTGTCAACTCTCAACATGTTGGGAGGACGGCAAGTAGTAGCTGCAGTAAAGTGGGCAAAGGCAATACCAGGTAATATGCAAACACGTTAATTACAAAGTGCAATCTATTTATTGTACTTAAAATCTGTCTTCGTATTTGGTATCCCTCAAAGCCTTCACAGATGAAGTTTTAGTCATATCTGAGCTAATGTGTGTCTCAAATACATCTGGAATGGAAAAGCAGAAAAAATACAAAACACATGCAAAAATTTGTTTACTAGGATTACAAGTTAGATAATTTTACTTGAACCCTTTGACCATTGAGTGTTAAAATTCATATTAAAAGAGAGATTTGTTTTTAAAAGTAATACAGAGAACTGTTTTCATTAGCTCTAGCTGCACCTTTTAGATAATTATTTCTTGAATATGTTTAGCAATGAAGTTCTCTTGACTTTCATGGACTGGTGCTGCTGTACTGGCTTGTCTGGGTCTGCCTTCATGGATGGTTCTTTTTCTACTGCCCCTCACCCTACCTGTAGTTTTTTCTTGACTGAGAACAGGCATTTGAGCATGCAGTCCCATAGTGGAAGTCAACATGTTCATTTTCTCTCAGGCACTGTAGCGACATGATTAAACTGACTGTCACCTGGGGAATGTGGAAGGTTTGTTGCTATTTTGGCCACACCTAAAGACACAGCAATTGCCTTACAGAAGAAGTGATGTCAAATCTCAGCCTTGGACATAACGCATTGCATCCCATAATATGTCTTTGGGAGAGGCTGGGCCTAAAAGTAAAGCTGAAGATCTGTTTATTCCTGACAGAACAAAGACTAGTGTTTTTCTCCCTTTCAATTCCACTCAGTACCGTTAGCTACCTGTTTTGAAAAATCCTAGCAAAAACACCTCTATAATGCATATGTTGCCCAAGAATAACGTCACATAATGGGTCTGCCAAAGAAAAAAAAAAAAGTCTGATAATGAAATTTGAGTCCTAATGGTATCTCTTTTGAGGAAGGGGAAATAAATTAACAGTAGGAAAGAAAGGCTAGTAAACTCAAATATATGTGTCCAACAGAGATGTGAATAGAGGGATTTGTATGTCTGTCAGGGTTTTTCTGCAATGGGGAATTATGCTGAATTAGCTAAGGTCTACATTAGGAAAAGCTCACATGCACGCTTTCTTCTGGGACAAGTCTTTAGGAGACCATCTGGTATTCGCAGATACGAATTTAGACACCATTTTTGTAAAACAGTTCTGTGTTCATAATCTCTTCTGAACAGTTCCCTTAATTAGACAAACCCTTCAGGTTAGAAAATATGCTTTTAATGAAAATGCCCATTTTCTCTTTAATAATTATAGTAATAGGAACTATTACTATCCTTTTTTTTATATTCCTTTTTTTTTTGGTTGCTAAGGTGGTTCTTCATAAGTATTTAATTTGTATACACTGCTACTAGTTGTACACCATCAGACATAGTAACAGTAAGCCAGCATTGGTTGCTAAACCCTTTAGCTGGGGTTTCACAATAGCCTTTTCCTGAGGAGGGTTTGTGCAAAGATTTCAAGATTTGACCCAGTAAGTTTGAAATAACTTTGAAACACTTGGCTTGTATTTCAGAAGTAGGAAATGGTAGTTACTGCCTTCTCCAAAGCCAGAAGCTTTTCTTGAAGTTGTTAGACATACCAAGTTTTGTTATATATTAAGCTACTCAATGCTATCGATTTAAACGTCTTCAGGAAGCAGCACTGTTATGAGCTCTTTAGCTGTCAGATGATTAATAAAATTAAATAAAATCATCTTGAATTCAGACTTCAATAATGATTCAATGTGGCAAAGTATTTTCTTGCTAAATATAGGGAGGATCTGATAGGAACTAGTGTTGCAAATTAAAAGCTGCCTACATTTTAAGACTGTTTAAGGGACCAATTTTCAGATTTTACACATTACCTCATTGTTCAATTGGCTCTGTTCACACTATATATTCTTATAAGATTAGAAGCAGGTAATGATGGTAACTAATGCAATACGTATTTTGTAAGTTCAGTCTACGATGGTTGTTGAATAAAACCAAAATTTGACACTAAACTGTATCTTGTCTAGTGGACTGCTCTCTCAAAAAGTAAAAAATACTTTTATTTTTGGAAGATAGCCAAATGAATTATAGTGTATATTAAATATAATTGTTGTCTTTTATAATCTATCTAACTGACCATCAGTTCCAGATAAGCACACACATACAGTCTGATTTTTTAAATATTACATCCCCTTTTAATACCTGTAGTACCTATTGAGAATTACCCATCTGGTACTCTGTCCATCCACAGAGTAACTAGCACCGGAGTTGCCAGAGCCCAGGGCTTTGCGTGTGCATGCACTTTTTTAGATGGGGTGCTGAGAATTTCTTTAGAAAATGTATATATGTTAATGTGAATATAATATATAATGCAAAGTTCAAGAGTTACTCTTTCTGTTGCTCTTTTGCCTGTTTTTCTGCGTTACATATGTTTTGTATGGTCAAGAGTTATACATTCAAACCAGCGCAAGGCTGAGTTGTACTGAAGCCTTCTATTCAAACCACTCAAGTTTCATATGTAGTCATATTGTCCAGAAGACGTAATTTGAGTCCTATGGTTACGAACACTTAATTTCTGTGTGTGCAAAATCTTGAATAGGCAAAGGAATCCTTAATGGTATACTAAGTATTTGAATGTAACCTTAGTAGCTGGAAAATGGCATTGAAATTTTGCAGCCCTTTTAAAGTGCATTCTTTTTCATTCAACAAGAACTTTCTTATAAGAAACCCCTTATTATTCTAATTTCTTTTTTTTCTTCTGCCAAAAATCTAATCTAAAATACTTCAGAAGTACTTGACTGAATCAGATGATTGTAGTATGGCAAGAAATCTTGTTGTTATTTCAGGTACAGTCGTCGCAGTTACAGAAATTGTTATCGAATACACTTTTAAAAGTGGTAATCTACAATGGCAGTACAGAAGCTGTACTGATGATACGACGGTCCTTTTCATGGCTACAGTTTTTTCTTTTTTTGCAACCAATACTGTCACACCTCAATTCTTTTCTTTTTTTCCAGGTTTCCGAAATTTACATCTGGATGACCAAATGACCCTTCTGCAGTATTCATGGATGTTCCTAATGGCTTTTGCTTTAGGATGGAGATCATATAAACAATCAAATGGAAATCTCCTGTGCTTTGCACCAGATCTGATTATTAACGAGTAAGTAAGATGTGAGTCATTTTCCAGGTTTCTCAGGGTGATACTAGACTCCACGCAGTATTTCTGGGTTTTGCACTTGAAAGGTGAATCACTGGATAGCAAATTCTTGCAGAGATCACAAATCAGTCTGTCATTCGCAACCTGTTTTTCTTTTAGCAGATTGCTTAGTTTTTAAATAAGTCAAATGAAAGAGGGGTATTTTAGATATTAGGTGTATTTATATCAAGAAGTTTTTGTGGGAGGTGTTTGTACTAAAATGTTCCATATTGTGACTGTTCCTGCACCATTCATTATAATCGTTCATTTTATCAGAGCCAGCACAGTTGATGCTAAAAATATATCTGGGATGGAGAGGAAAGTTTGGTAAATTGCATAATGTGCTGTATGTTTATTGTATAAAAGTGATAGTATGGTCCTACCAGTTTCACAGAGCTCTTGATCAGTTAAACATTTATATCTGAGCCTGATAAAACTCTGGCTAAAAAGACAAGATTACAAATGGAAAAACTCATCTGACTTTTTTTCACTGTTGAACTCTTATCAATTTTCAAGAAAAGTTGAATTTGCTAGAATATTTGGACGTCTTTTTTCTTGCACCGTGCATCATTTTCCTTGTATTTTTCAAATTCATGTTGTGCAGTAATTCCGTGTTGTAGAGGAGTGAAAGAGGGAATTCAGGATTGTTGAGGTGATGGGCAGAAGGCTCAATTCGAGATTCAGTGGGTATAAACATTTTGCGCAGACATACACGTAGTTATATTACATTCCATGTGCTATTTCAGAGGTGTAGTAGCAGATCAGGCTAGGTTATGCCTTTCTGCCCCTAGTCTGGAGAGCAAGCGCTCCGTCTAACCCCTCTCCTGTAGGGGCGTATTCGGGAATCGGTCCCGATGGACTGTCACGCTCTCCTGCCTTTTACTTTGAAGCTATTTCAGCGGTTGTGTCCTTCAGCTCATATTCCAAACAGCAGTTTCTTCAAGCAGGTGGAGGAGCGTCTGTGTAGTCTGTAACAAACCTTTCAAGTGATCTTTCAGTCTTGCAATTCCAGGGTTGCTAGCAATATTTATAAAGCCTGTCAAGACATTCTGTCTGTATTGTGAATTAGTTGCTGAAAGTACTCTGTGGATGTGAATCTCTAAGGTTGCTGGCCAGAGCCATTCAAAATCTAGTTTACCCATCTGCAGATTCCAATTAATTTGATGCTATCACTATGGATTTGCCATTTCCTTTTTCATGAAATGGCATAGGCCATTTGTGGGGACTAAAACTAACAAATACAACTACACAGTGCCTTTGACATTGAGTACAATCACAAAACTTTTTTAGCATAACAATTTCACTGACAATATTTGAAAAGTGAGGCAAGTGACAAGGTATTATTCGTGTCTTTGTTTTCCTGTCTTTAAAATGGAGGCAATACTAATCCCTTTGGCATGTTTTGAGACAGTAGTCTCAATATATTTGTTCCTATTGCACTTCAGTATCAAATCTCCCAAATCTTTTCTCAGTTTAAAAAAATAATAATAATAATAGTTACATTTTCTCTGAGATTAGCCATTTACATTTCAGACTACTTTTTTCTTATGATTATTTAGTCATGTTATTTTTTCAGTGTAAATATTTTTCCAAGTTTTTATAAACTGTAATTGTTTCTTTATAATAAATATTTTTTTAAAAAAAGGTGAGGAGCAGGTGATGGGTGAGGGTCCATCTGTGTACTTATGTTTATTAAAGTCTCTAGAGTAAAATAGGCTCCATGTGGTGGAATTGAAATAACTGGTATTATCACTGATAAGCGTAATAGCATCTAATTTGCTTTAAGTCAGAGGTCTCCTGCTGTTCTATCAATGGGTCAAAACCACAGAGCTTTACAGCTAAGTGTGTGTCAGTACTCCTAAAAAAAACCTGCAAGGGTAATCCTATTATACTAAATACTAATTTTCAGATTCATTCTAGTTACAGTTTTGGTACATAAATTGTTAATCAAAATTACATTTGTTTTCAATAAAATATGTAGACTGAGAGAACTGCAGTTTCTTCTCCAGTGTGCTACAGGTTCCCCATAAAACTCTCTGGTCGTAACTTTTTATGTACCATTCATCAATAAAATACAGCCTCTGAGTTAAACGTGACAAATACTGAATAATACATAAAACCGCTGCATGAGTTATAAGCAGGGAAAGCCAGAGGGGCAGTGCCATTGGGGAAGCGCTGCTGATGCTAAAATGTTGGGTAGGACAAGAAAGACATCATGGACATCAAGAAAAAAATGCACTTGGATTTTAATGATCAGATGTGTCCACTCTCTCTGCTTGATACATCATTCAAAAGATAGTACTGCAGTACATAATATCCCCTAAAAACCATTTTGGGGTTTATTCAGTGCTAGTTTCTGATATGCATCTAAGTGATCTTTCACCCAAACAACTCCCACCCACCCACCACCCCTAAAGCTCTTGCTTAATGTTTTAGGTATGCTAGAAACAAGTCCAAGGTAGAGTAATAGGTTAACTTTATTTGATGTAAGAATCAGATCTTTATTAAAACCTGTTAACCATTATAAAATGAAGAGGTAAAGTATCATCCTCTAAAAGTCAAAACAACTCCATTATTTGGTCATTCTAAAAATAATTGTGTTGTTTAATAACATTACAGTGAATTCTCTAGAATAATAGGAAAAAAGTGAGTTTTCCTCATAAATTTTAAAGCTTGATTCCACTAAATACAGTTAGGCGTAGGTGTTGTGTGTGTAACAGAATCAGGACCTTCATTTTGATTGTCTGGAATCTAGGATCATGGTCATTTTTGCAGTTAACTGAAGCTGTCTGCGTCAGATTTTTGGCTTCCTGTTCAGTAGTTTCAGATTTCTGCATGCAGATGAGGAGGTATAAGTTGTTCAAACTTGTAATTTTTGAGATCTGCAAATGACATTTCTACAGGTCTGTTCTTTATATGAGCATTTTTCATTTGTAACTAAGAATTTGTTCTGGCTTCATATCTATTAATTGCAGTTTCAAAGCACTATTTCAGTGGAGGACTAGAACAAAATTATGTGCCTTTACCCATGCTGTGTTAGAATACCGTAATTCCAGGAGGTCTTCCATCTCTTCAAGGCACAGCCTTTAGATTGATGATGTACTTGTTTTTCTTAAATGGAAGTATAAACAAGTTGAGGAGTTGGCAAAAACTTCCAAGCCTCACATGAGCCCCTCATGCAAACTTGTATCGTTTCAGCCTTACAAAATAGTGGCAAATATTCACATGGATGCGTGTTCAGTTCTGTTGCGTAATTTGAGTTTACACATCAAACAAAATTGTATGTATCAAATTATGCTATAAGTGATAAACATCTCGCAGAGTACATGGGATTACACATATTCAGATCTTAATTAGTGTGATTTTTTTAAAATATATTTAGCCTACTTCTCACCCAAAAAAATCCTTTAATTTTACTTATAAACAATTGACCCTCAGAAGAGTCATAAGAAAAGTATAGGTGTTACTACGTGCAACATAAATCAAGAAATGGAACAGACAAGCATTTTATAATCACATCATTTCGTTATTTTCCTTTGTATCTTCATTACAGCAATAAACTTGAGTTGGTCTCAGAGCACTTCTTTGTGCCACCATTACCTGTAGGTTGCAGCACCATAACACAGGTGAAGCATTCAGGAACGTGAGTGCAGGGTGAGTTATTGAGCAGTGGTTCAGAGAAGTCATTAATACTTAATGTCTGCTGCTGAGAGCTGAGGTTGCATAGCTGATGTTAACAGAGGCAGGGGGAATAATACATAACAACAGAGCATACAGTGCCTTCCGCTGTGTTAGTTCTATGGTTACAGATAAGTGCAATTACTTCTATTTTAATTTTCTTTGGGTTTTATATGGTTTTCTAGAAACCATTTATTTTATTCAGTTTCTGGGCTTTAAAGACTTGTCCTCATATTTGGTGCAATTCAGTGTCTTCAGCGTCAGGAAGAGAGACTCCTGTCTTTGACGGGTTCTCCAAGCCTTGGTGATTCAAATGGACATAACTGCAAAACATTTTTTTAAGATTGACTTCTTTATGGGGATAATAAGACTTTCTTTAGTTTCATGTATCTGCTCAAGCATCTGAGCAGCATCAACCTTTCATGCATTTATCCTTGCACCAACCCTGTCTGGTATTATTCCTGCGTAGTTACTGCTTACCTAGATACGGAGTAGCAAGATCCACTAGCTCATGTCGACACTTTTTAGGCAACTGTGTGTAACTGGGCTGTACATAAAGAACCTGTCGAACCCGTTAAGAGGTTTGTCACGCTACATTTTCAGCTAACAGACCCTTAGCGTTTATAAATCTCTTCCCGTGAATGCACAAAAAGCTTCCCCGAAATCAGTGGATTTGTTTTGCTTAGTGCTCAGGTAGCTTTAGCTGTGGTAGTGCTGAATGCCACCATTCATTAGTACCATTGTAGATTCTTCCATAATTGAATTTTCCGAGTATTATTGATGCAGTCTGTGGTGGGAAAGAGAATTAAACTCTGTTCTTAAGTCTTAAGCTGGCAGCCTAGTCCTTTGACCGGTCTTCTCCTAAAAATTGAATATTTATTGAATATTCCATTTTTATGTCTGTATTCCTATCATTTATTTAGGGGGGAAAAAAAACAAAGACAAAAGAAAATCATCCAATATATTTGAATAATGTTTATCACATATTGGATATCCTGAGTTAATACGCCTGATAGGGGTTGGGTAGGGTGAATTATAAAGTTGCTGTGATATGAAAATAAATTATTTCCCATAGCATTTGTTGAGTGCAAAAAGACTCACCATACGTATACATAGCGTTGTTTTCACTTGATACGCTTATGCTGCATCTGTACAGCTTTTAATTTGTTTGTCTACAAAACCAAAAAGAGGGAAAGATGAGTTTCTGAAGATCCAGCTGTCATTTCTGCAAGAATACAGGTCACTTCATCATTCTTCCTGCTTCCATTTTTTCTGAACTGGCTATTGCAGTTGATCGAGGTTTGGAAATGAAAGCCTCTCTCTCTCTCTCTCTCCCTCTCACAAGCTAACTAGTGGTAGCTGGAGGTGGGGTGATGCAAGCAGCGTGCTGCAGATGCTCACCCGACGAAGCAGTGAAGTTAGCAGTGGTCCCTCGGCCAGTTCCTGCCTTAGCCTTCAGGGAGGGAACGGCATCGAGGGCTCCAGACCTGAAGAGCTGGCGCTGGTAAACCTGGGCAGGAAAATGGGAACATTTAGTGCTCCCTTACGGTCGATCATCTGTTGGATGGCAGTTACTGCCCAATCTCGTTTCCACTTCAGTCAATAGAAGAGCTGCCACTGAATTGCATAGGCACACCTTAGTCCTCTAGTCTGTAAAGCTGGTATTTCCTTCCCCAGCTAATTCTCTGCACAGGGAAAAACTACAGAGCAGCCATTGACAGCTTTTAATCTCCAAACAGGTTGGGAGGAGAAGGGAGTCATTCAGCTCTTCATCAAGGGAGGGGCAAAAATGTATTTTAAGTTATTGTAAAGCTTTGGAAAATATTTTAGATTTACATTTCTATATTTCGTTTCTGGGTAGAAATAATGTACTTTAATGGATTAGCATGTGACTGTTCAGTAAACTCACCATTTTACATTTCAAAACAAGAAAAATGTTTTTTTTTGTGGACGTATGTCTATATCAGCTGGCAATTTTATATATAATATATGTATTTTTATGTATACACACACACAACTTAATTCAAGTTCTTGAAAAGTTTGGCAGCTTAATAAATCTCAGGCTTTAGACCGTCATTTAGTATTTGGAGATTGTATAAACCTGTGATTTTGTAGTATTGTATAACTGTTTCCACAATTTGCGATTCAAAACATGCTTTTGTTGGAGTTGGCACTGTTACTGTATCAGCTTTAGGCCTCTATTTGTGTCACAGTGTACATGAAATTACAGTGGGCAACAGGAACTATTGCACAGTTGTGTTCACAAGTAGCAAATGCCATTTAATTGCTGCCTAGCTTTAGAAAGAAGTTCTCGGAAGCCCTGTGTCTTAAGATTTTGACTGTGTTTGCATGCTCATCATCTTAGCTCTTTACTCTGCTTAGGTGTGTGGTCAACTCCTTGGTCTCATTTGTCCTTATAATGTTATATACCATGCTGAGTATCTCTATTGGTGTGACTTGAATAGAAAGAAAATAACAAGTGATTACAGTTATATAAGCAATGTTTTATCAGTTCTCTCATTCTCAGAATTTTTTCCGAACATTCTTCTGTAACTAATTTGGTGGAGTTGGTATCATCTATTTTTTCAGAATACCAGCATCTTGTTTACTGATTTTTATTCTTTTGTAGACTTAGCTGAACTAAGTGACTCACAGCAGTGTTGAAAATCATCACATGCCTTTATCATCAACATGCATCCCACACAGAATGCATATGTACATCCCGTGTACGTTACATGGGCTTTCACTGAGCTGAAGCTTACAGCTAATGCCCGACTTGCGTGTTCTTCTCCGAGGCAGCTGGTTACAAAAGCAGAGGAATATTAGATACTCATAGAACAAGAAGGTGCTTCAAATCGGACTAGATTTACAGTCCCTAAAGCAGGATCACTTCAAAAGTGATAAAATACTGTTCATCAGCTGTTTAAGTCTCGATTTATATGAATGGCAATAATCGCAAAAGCATTGAACTGCTGCGATCTGCCCAGTGCCAGCGGGGAGCTCCCGGGGGCTCGCCGGGGCCTCAGCGCTGGCTCTGCCTCCTACGTCAGCAGCTCCTGAGCTTGTGTGGAGTACAGGCAACTGCCAGACCTTACAGCTTCCCTGGGATTGCCAGCCCCGGTTATCACCAGAGCTTTACTTGAAGACTCCACAAAGTCAATATGGTTCTGTAGATAGTTTCTGCTGAGAAGAAATCATCTGTGATGTCATCGCTAACTAGAATAGCTATTTTAATTAGCTAAGTATAGTACCTAGTTTAAGTATTATGTCTGGTTTATGTGTGGGTAAATTAATTCATAATGTTGCTAAATGCCCTCCATAGGGAGGGGTACCAGTGAGACTGAGCAGGGGGAGTAAGAAGAGAGCCCTGAAGTCCCTGCTCTTTGCTGGGTCTTTGGTCTGTGACTCGACTCCGATCCTCGGACAGCCTCCCTCCGTGCACAGCTCTGTGGCAGCTGAGATCATCTGATGTGCTCTGGCCAGGAGATCTGCGAGGGGAATGTCTGGGACCTCTTCCCAGACCCTTCGCCAGCGTTAAGGATGATCCCGTGAATCAGCTTCCCTCTTGTTCTGGCACAGCCTGGATCCGCTGCCCTCCAGGGCATAGTGCAGAGCTCATCTGTGCGCTCTGACTTCTCTGAAGGGGGGGGGGGGGCTGTGTTTTACTCTCATTTTTTGAGGACTGCAATTTGCATAGCCTTGGTATTACCAAAAATCTGCATGTCTTCATATAGATTCTCAGACTTGCAGTGATGATTGCATTTACAGCAGATAGAAATAAATGACAGACTGGCTCATTTCATAATGTTTATTTTAACCTTCTGCCCAGAAATGGTAATAGTTTTACATGGGGAAAACTGCTGAGCCCTGTCATAGAATGTGTTTAAATTACTCAATTTGAAATATGTAAGATGCCCTTTGATACAACCCAGAGGGGTTAGGAGAAAATTTGCCAAACAGCCAAATAGTGGCTTTGTGTCAAGTGCCCAGAGAGGCATCCTACAGCTGAACATCTTACTCTTATTCCTACCTTGTGCAACTTATCTTGTATGCGCTTTGTATTCTTGCTGTTACTCCCTGATTATTGAAGTCTAACATAACATCAGTGTTTATAGGTTCATGTGCGTGCATGCCTGCGTGTAGCTGTAGATACCATTTGTGTATGAGGCAGTGCTGCACGTAGTCCTGTTACAATCAGAAGGAATTGTCCAACAACATGCGATTGGAAATGCTGGGTTTTAGGCTTGTACTTGATTTGTTTTTAATACAGTTTCAATAGCTTGTCTTTCTTTGTCTTTCAAAATCCATCTGAATTCCTATTATTCTTAGGTTTTTGCACCTTGAAAAAGGTGTGTGTTTCTTGTTTTCCCTTAGGGTTTCTTATGATGCTTGTGAAGGGTACATTGTATAATTCTCTTGCAGGGCTAAGAAAGGGAGAACTGAAAAATGGTAGCAGCTTTGGAGGAATTGGTGCCATTTCATAACCAAATCTTACTCTTAACTTACACCGGGATTCAATTTTGTCTGTGTCTTTGTTTAGACTATAATTTTGAATAGGTGATGTCTTAGAAAAGGTGACACGTTATTAACAAAAAATAAATTGCTAGCATCACTGTAGAGAGATTGTGCAGTCATTGCATTTGAAATGTACTATTTTGCCTATCTTTTTCTCTACAGAAGTTTACATGGAAAAGTATAAATCTCTCTTACACTCTTCAGAATTAATCTGTTTTTGTTCATTTCTCAACCAAAACTGTAATCCTGCGGTATTCACAGTGACCAGCTGTAAAAGCACACGTAAAGTGTGCCTTCAGCTGAGGCACTAAATAAAAGGAGGAGTTCCTGTCTTGATGCAGGATTTCATTGAAATAGAAAAACTAAAAGGAAAAGAATATATAAATACATAATGTTTGTCATTCTGATTCCAAGTAAGTGCTTTCCAAGATCTTCCTTTGGTTGTTGACATGTCTTTCCATTTATGGTTAGAAACCTTATTATTACAGTACAAAGGTGATGAAATTTAATTGCAATGCCAGGCATCGCTTTAAGAACATAAAAGGATATGAGAAGTACAAAGTCACTTTGAAAATTGAGAACTTATGGGAAGTTGATGCTATCACTAGTGAGCAAATATGTATTAAATTTAGGTGGACTTCTCAAAAGTACTGAAAGAATTAGAGAAATCTCTAGAAATAGTATACCATCATGTTTCTTTATACAGATTAAATACTTGGGACTGCCAGGCTTTGAGAACTTTGTCACACAGTGACCGAACTTGATTTTTATGTCAAGTTTGTGCAGAACTGTTGCGTCGGCTGTTGATAACAGAGCTTACTGATCGGTCCTTGGCAGAGACAGGCTTCCTTTATAACACTGGGATTTCGTACGTCACGCTCCCCTTGTGCTGCAGTTCTAGGCCAGTGTTTATATGTGGTGACCAAGGCAATCACCCTGAACGGGTTCACTGGGGAAAACCAAAGATCGTTTTGCTGCAAGATAGATCCGGTACTAGCTTGTCATCTTCCTCTACAACCCCCACTGCTCTTGAATGAAGCATGGAAAAACTTAGATTTAGAACTTTTAGATAGCTAGACATTTAACTAATTTTTATATTCTTATTTCTCAGGCAGAGGATGAATCTACCCTGTATGTATGAACAATGCAAACATATGCTTATGGTGGCCCGAGAGCTATCACGGCTTCAAGTCTCATATGAAGAGTACCTCTGCATGAAAACGTTGCTTCTCCTCTCTACAAGTAGGTGAATAGTTAAAATACCTATGTGAAGAATGTAAGTTTAACTTGCCAGTAACTTGCCAGAGTGCGCATGTGTAGCTTAAAATTGTGTTAGGTATCTGATATAAGATTTCCTATAGGATCCCGTTTTTTGCAATAAAAGTCAAAATATTCCACTTGGCACCTGACTATATGGGGTTAGTGAAGGAAGTTCTGCTTTCAGCAGATACAAGACATTCAAGCCTAGATACTATGGATTGTGTTCAAAACTTTGCAACTCCCAACAGAGGCCTAACTCAGAATTGCAATTTAAAATTCTTCAAAAATACCTCACAAACTGGCTGAGTAGTTCAGGATCCAAAGAAATGAGGAAAGCTATGACTTCATGCCCATGAAATACTAAAAAAAAAAACCAAACAAACCACCAAACAACAAAAAACAACCAAAACAAACAAAAAAACCCCAGCCACCACCTGTGAGGAAGCTCTGATCCAGTGAAGCAGGTTTCCCCAAAAAAAGTTATCAAACTCCCCCAGAAATTATTCAAAATTGTTAAATACAGCTGCAGCTTTTTGCGTTTGCATCTAAAAACTATATGGTGGATTTACGATAGATATCATAAGATAGATTTATATAATATACTACATGATGGTTTTTATGTCTTTCCATAGGATATGTGGTAGTTAAAACAAGTCACAGCTTAGTAAAATTCTGTTGTCTGTACTGCGTGAAAGGTCAAAGTAGGTTGTCAAAATAGTCCTTTTAGAATACACAGAAATACACTGAGACATTACACAAATAACTTCTACAATGTTGTTTTTACCCTGTATTCATACTCATTGGTACCTAGTGACTTTTTTCTCCTCGTGCGCAGTAGGGCTGTAGCCACCTGAGGAAGCTGAGCTGTAACCCCGGCTCCGTTGCAGTCCAGGGACTCTCAGTAGTAAAGAGCCCGTGTGCGTGTGTGCTGTGAGTAGGCGTGAGTTGGGCACCTTGCCTTGCACCGCTCAGTTTGTCTGAGCAGTTAAAGCGTGTGCCCGTCTGTCCTGGGGAAATCCCGTCCCGCAGCCGTCAGACCGATCCCCGTGGTCCCACAGGACTGGGAAAGCTGCGTCTGAGGCAACGGCTGTAGATTTCCTGGAGCCTTTGCTGCTTCTGCTTGAGAGAAGATTATTTTTGTTTTAAGGTAGTGACAGGTATGCCAGTATGCTTTAAAAGTATCAGTAAGAGCAGCAATGCAAGATTTTTCAGCATAGTACTTCCACATGATGAAAAGTAAATATTCTTAAAAGTTTAAACAGTTCATTACACAGAGGGCTCAAACATTCCTTATCGTTAATATTTCCAGTGAGTAATAACATTAATTCTTACAAACAAATGAGAACGTGGTAGCTTTGGGCTTTTCCCAAATGAAGGCAGGAGGATCTTGTAACCCAGCGCTGTGTGTGCTGCAGAGCCCTGGGTGAGGAGTGTGGGCAGGAGAGGTGTCGGGTGCTGTACACTGCCATGACCAGCTCCTCCCCGCTCTGCTGGGCAAGTCAACTCGGCGGCCTGGCGGGGGGGGCCCAGCCTCGCCTGCCAAGCCCAGAACTGGGACAAGGGCTCTTTTCAGAGGAAACTTTCGGCTCCGTGCTGCCGTGGGCTTTGTAGGAACTTGAAACTTCCCCAAAACTGCAGATTTAAAGCAGTTTCTGAAATCTCTCCTGAAACTTTCTCAAGTGTTTTGGATGTGGTGTAGGCCAACTTTCCTTACAGGAATTGGAAATTTCCTCAAAGGAATTTCCATGGCAGAAATGGCAAAGAGGCAGCACTCGTAGAATTAAGCCCATTCACGAGTGAAGTATGGCAAGCACTGGCGTTAACCAGCAGAAGGCCTCTTTGTTGTATTTACAGTGAAAGACAATACATGTTCATATTTCTTTTCGAGCACATACATTGTGTAAGTGGTACATTGTGGAACTTCTGAAAATTAAATAGCTGAAATTTGTATAGCTTTTTAATCCATGACTTCACAGTTTTAATTTATTGTGTTTCTATGCAAGTTTTCCAAGAGAAGAGGAAGAGGAGGAGGAGTAAAACAGGAATCCCACGCAGATCTAGACACATAGCTCACACATAGATGTAGCTCCCAGACCTTTTCCATTTAAATTATTGAAGCAACAGTTGACATGTTGTCATCTCCTGTGTAGACGAGGCAGACAAGATACTTCACTCCAGCATTTCACGGATGCTGACAGTATAATGAGGGCTGGATTTTTTAGGAAGGGAGTGTGCTTCAGTGGCCTCTTTCCTCTCTTGCTTTCAGTTGGCTTTGTCTCAGCTCTCTGTCTTCTCTATCTTCAGCTCTTTCCATTCACTTCACCAAGGTAATCAAAGGCTTCAAATCAAGCATCTTAAGGATCACTGGAGTCCATATGCTTGATTTGTCCTGATTTGTGTACTAGTCCTTGACCTTTAGAAGGACCATCCTAGTAGGAGAACATAGGCACAGGAACTTAACATGGAGTTGAGTCTGAATATGGGCCTTGGTCCCCACGCGTTGGATTTCGTACCCACAGCTCCTCGTCCAGCCGGTGCCATCTCAGTGTCCCTGTTCCAGAAAGCTCTGCCCAAGACCCAAGTCCTCCTTGGCTTGGGCAGTCAGTTTGTTGTCCAGTCTCTGTTACTGCCTTGCGTGGACACGTTATTTGATCCATGTCAGGAGGGTTGGAACTAGATGATCTTTCAAGGTCCCTCCCGAGCCAAGCCATCCTGTGATCCTACCCTCGCTCTTCCCTCAGCACACAGAATTTTTATGGAATCTTTCTGATGTCACGTTTCCCCAGACATTGAGAACATGGGAGCTCCAGCCCTGGTGGTTCATCAAGGCACTTCCAGGGCTTAGTGGGTTTGCCTCCATGGTCCAGTTCCCTTCCCTCTATTTCTTGTTGGGTTACCTTTGGGTATTTTTATTTTTATTTTGCCAGCAGTCCTATGCTATTTGTTGAATGATTCATCCATCTCAATTTCCGCTCTTTCCTTGTCTCTCAGCTGCCATTTCATTAAGTCCAAGTCCTCCTTCTTTTGGTCATTTCTGTGTAACTAATGTAAGAGAACTTAAATAATGACACAATTCATAGATGTGTAATATCTTCAAGGTTCGTATCAATGTTACAGTTCCTAAGGAAGGCCTGAAGAGTCAATCTTTGTTTGAAGAAATCCGTATGACATACATTAAAGAGCTGGGAAAGGCCATAGTGAAAAGAGAAGGGAACTCAAGTCAGAACTGGCAGCGATTTTATCAACTGACTAAACTGTTGGACTCTATGCATGATGTAAGTTCTTAAATGAATGCTGTAGGCATTCCAGATAAATAAGCTTGGGGATATGACAGTAATATCTCTCCTTTTTTTTCTTTAAAGGGATAATTGGGGGGGAACATGGTGCCTTCAGACTACTTTTGCAGTGGACTCCACAGCAATTAATTTTATAATTGATATAACTTTTGGTCTCTTTAGTTTTTAAAAATGATGTTGCTTTGAAATGGAGGAACTCTGAAATTGTAAATGATTTAGCAGTAGTAGCAGAGATGTGAAGTTTAAAAACAGTATTGTCTCAGAGACAAACTATTCAAGAATCTATGGAATTGTTTGAAAATGCGTTGAAATAATGCATCACTGCTATTTTTAGTATTAGTAGTGGTCTAATTTTGCAAGGAATTTTGGAATTCAGGCTTTTTTGCCATCTCCTTTTGCGGTGTGTACTCTAAATTGTGCATATAGTACAAAGTAGTCCAAGTAGTGTTTAAGCTGGATAAGGCAAGGGAAACTTTGAGACCTCAAAATTATTTTTTTTCTTTTTAGTGTACCAAGCACCTGGAAAGATCTTATTAAGCTTATCCATATGTATGTTATTTATATGCTAGAATGGGAATTGATACAAATTCTCTTCAGTATTTGTAAAGACCTTGCATGGTCTGTTCCCTTATTTCATATTAGAATGCCATTTGCAAAACTTACAAATTAAAATGAGGATAACCGTGCATGTCAGCCCTGCGTCGCAAGTATTATCGGAGCGGGGTGTGAGGCGTACTTAGGGTAGCTGGCAAACCAGACACCACGCTGGCCTGTGCTGCAAGAAGTTATGAATAAGGAGGAATGTAGGTTAATAGTTCTTCTGTATGTGTTCGTGTGAAAGTAATTCTTTGCTTTATCACTTGTAGGTGGTTGAAAATCTTCTGAGCTTTTGCTTCCAGACATTTTTGGATAAATCCATGAGTATTGAGTTCCCAGAAATGTTGGCAGAAATCATCAGCAATCAGATACCAAAATATTCAAATGGAAATATCAAGAAGCTCTTATTTCATCAGAAGTGACTGCCTTAATACAAAAGGGTTGCCTTAAGAAAACGTCAAATGATAGCTTTTTTTTTTGTAAAGAAAAAACCTACCGGACTTGTTAATTTTGTCCTTGCAGCGGTGTTTCTTTTGTAATTATGCACTACATGTGGTTTACAGAGGGCCAAGATTTAGGCTATAGAAGCAGCGTATTTCTCACATTTGGTAAAAAATTGGGGAGAAAGGAAAATAAACCTTATTTGTCAGAAATTCTGTATCTCCCCTCGTGCAACATCCATGGATGCATCAAAACCACCGGTGACAAGATCTGAGGCTGTGTTATGAACGTTCTGCTAATTAATTTCTGCAGTTGGCTGGAGACAATTTTCTAGGCTTTTTTTTTTTTTTTAGTAAAGTGTTTTGGATTTTTTTTTTTTTTTTAAAGTTAAGGTAGCATTTTGGTTTATGCATGTAACCTGAAGAAAGTTTACAAGTGTATATCAGAAAAGGGAAGTTGTGCCTTTTATAGCTATTACTGTCTGGTTTTAGCAATTTCCTTTAACTTTATATACCGTGAACTAGGCTTGTTCATTTTTTCTTACATAATTTTTTTGTAATACTTCAAGATGCCTATTGTACAGCTGGTTTTTTAAGGTGGGGCAGCTCGTAGCTTTCCTAAATGACCTCTAGACATTAATCCTTGAGTATATTCATGTGAAAATGGGTTGGGCTTTTCTAACCTAATAGCTTTCAACTGTCAAAGTGACCATAAAAATTTGGCATTTTTTAAGGGCCAGGGTGGGTGAGAGAACACTCTCAAATCTAATTTAAATAGATGCGAACGAAACAAATACTTTTGGTATATGTGCAAAAGTGCTGGATATGCAGATTCATAGAAAATTAACCCAGTCCTAGCTGGATGTAAATGAGCAGGTTATTTTATATATTGAAAAAAAAAAAAGCCTGATTTTTGCATATAATGCAACAGCCATAACTATAAGAGTCATGGGCTGCATTGATGCCAAGAAGATCAGTCCTGACTGCCCATCAGGAAATTTTCAGGAAAATATGCATAGCTTAAGAAAAGTTTACTTCTGTGTGGAGAAACTCACATTTTCTATACACTTAAATTTATCATCATACAAGTATATATGGAGAAATACCATTGACTTAAGAGGCAGACATGTAATTATGCCCAGTGGTTTGGTTTTGTTCTGTTTTCTTGTATCGATTCTAGAACTCTCTTCTTCGGTGGGGTGTTCACCGTCACGCAGGCGGTAGAGCAGAGCAGCTGCGCTGGCGGACTGTAACTCTGGATATACAGGCTCCAAACTCGTGTGGTTAGAGACCCATTTTCACATCTCCACCTCTCGCTGCCTGGCTCATCGTCTTTCCTGGAGAGCAGGAAAGCTCCGCTACTGATTTCGTGGTCTTAGAGTCGTCTGTCAAACTTTCTGTCTTTGTAAGGCTGCATCCCTTCATATCGAATTACTAGTGTGCCATAAAATTACCATAGGTCTTGTGAATTTCTCCTTGTTGCCATTGATAACTATATTTTAAAAGGTTTAGAAGCTGTAGTAGCCTTTTCTACGTGCACCTTAACGATTTTCTGTATCTCAAAATTTAAATATTTACTAAGCCACTCTAAAATTTGATTTTTACTCAAAGTGGCCAGATTATTTGTGTAATAGAAATGAGAAAGATCATCTGATAAAATACAAAACCTAATATATTTTTATATTTAGTTATAGTTTCAAATATGTATAATCGGTATATTCGCTGATCTGAGAAAAGAAGGGAAGGGCTACTGCAGCTTTAAAAGCAATTTATTAAATGATTGTAAAATAGCTTGTATAGTGTATAATAAGGATGATTTTTAGATGACAGATTGCTTTATCATGATACATGTAATTATATTTTTTGTAGGGGTCACAAATGTGCTGAATGGTAACCCGTACAAGTTGTGGTTTGTCTGGAGGTAGTACTGAAGGCATCGGTGTTTAGTATCCAAAGAAGTACTCTGTTTAGAAAGGAAAACCTGTGTTCAGTGGGTGTTTTTAGGGTTGATTTTATGTTTATCAAATCACTGTGTAAAAATTCAAGTTGGAGCTTGGATGGAATACTCCTATCTGTATGGTTGGTTACCATTCGCGATTCATGGCTAAATCAGACCTCCGCTGCAAAAAATGTAGGTCGGAAAGATGCGTGTGTGCGCATGCGGACATGCACCTCTGAACATATGGGGTTAATTTCATATACAGCCTCACATACCACAGCAAAAACAGCTTGAAAAATTTGGCAATAATACGCATACAGGTACCAGCAATATGTAAATATAGAGCATAGGTTGTTCACAATACACTAGTACATTTCTATTGTTCAGCAAAAGTTTGTTTCCAGGTGAAATAGGAAACTAAATTTTCATCCTTTCTTAAATCTCTTTTTGAATGTTATATCTATTAGAAGAAGATACTATATTCAGTACTTTGGAGTAAAACATCATCTTTAATAAAAAAGAAGTAATCATTCTCTTCTCTTTGAATGATCTGTAAAGAATATGCACATTTTGTAGCAGTTAAGGTAGGGTTCAGTATTTTAATTATAACTTTCAACCCAACTCAATGAAAATATTCACGCGACCCGTTTGAGATACAGATAGGAGTTTCATACCGTTTGGTTTCAGGTGGGGTCTTCAGTTAAAAGGAAAACTGTTCTTACTTTAGAGAATGTTTTTAAAAATTGCATCCCCAGATGCCTCAATTTGAGCTCGTGTGAAAGAGCGAGTGTGTGCGTGCGTGAGCCGGTGTGCGTGCACGTGTGCAAGCGTTTCTGCATTTGTATACACAAAGAAAAAACTTTTTTTTTGCCAGCAGAGAAGTAACTCCAGTGAACACGAACAAATTATCACCTTGAGCGAACTGGTAACATAGGAGAAGAGAGGCTCTCTACCCCCGTTTTGTCTGTATGCCTGTATATTCACTTTTAGTTTATGGATTTAAGGAAAAACAAAAAAAAAAGGAAACTGTGATGTTAGAAGAAAGCAATCGTCCTGTACGTGCTGTTAAGTTTTAAACTTCACAATTAAAAATACGTAGTGCTTTAGTGAGCAGTGAGAAGTCCATGTTCTGTGTATCCGTAGTCCTTGTAGCAGTGGGTAGTATCTGCACTCTGGATAAAGCAGGGAGAATTCTGACTTCGTCTCTTCAGTGCCTTATCACAAAGTGCATGCATCCGACCGAGGGACGGCCGCCGCCGGCAGCTCAGGACACACGCGTGCTGCGTGGCGGAACTTGCACACGACGAACGCTGGGAATGGCCTTACATAGGAGAAGCCAGGGAGCGGGGATGGAGAGGGAGCTGCTGTCGGTCTCGCACAGCCCGGGCATCGCCCCAAGCCGCAGCGACAGAAACGGAGGTGTCTTGAGGAGCTTTGCAACTGGAAAGGAGGGGAGAGGGAGGGAGGGGGCTGGGAATAGGTGCCAATTGAAGCCGAAAAATGACCTCGCCATTTTCACAGAAAAAGGTAGAAAACAGGAGGAAGTGCCTGGATGAACGTCAGCGAAATCCTGTTTCCCGTAGTTGAACTTCAGCGAGTGAGGACTTCAGGGTCATACCTTGAGGGAGACTTTTAAGAGATTGTATGTATTATATACTAGTTAAGCTCTATCCTTAGTCCAGTCTGCAACCAGGTGTTGCCGAGCCATCGATGTTACATAGGAACCAAATTTTCAGGAAAGGATTAGGGCCTCTCTAAAACAGCAAGAGGCACTCGTTTTCTGATGAAAGGCTGTGTGTATGAAAATATCCCCCACCTCCAAACTAACTCGCATAAGAGCATAGAGTCAGCGATGTGTCATTATTCTATTTTGTATATTAAACAAAAGATATATACTGGGGACAAATCCTATATCATACCGGTGTATGGCATTATTAAAAAAATCATTATTTTTATCACAGTAATTTTAAACAGCATAAAAAAATTAAACCAGTGACTCCTGTTTAAAAATAAAAGTTGTAGTTTTTTATTCATGCTGAATAATTCTGTAGTAACAAGTCTGTAGTTTTCACCTACTCAGTGAAATGTTGGACTGTAAAAGCTTGTGTGGAATTGTTGAACATTTATTTTTTCATTTAAATTTGCTGTTCTGGTAATACAAAACCACACATCTGTACAGAAGTTGCAGTAAATGTGAGCCATTTACAGCAATGCCGAATAATGGACAGAAACCATATAATAAAATTCTGCTTTTTTCATTAAATGGCTCCAAAATGCTTTTGTAGAGTTTTTGCTGCGTACCTGGAACGGATTGGTTCTGACAACGGAGTTGGTTCATTTATGTTGTTTTCATTATTCACCTCATTTGCAAAAATTATTTCTACTAAAGCTAATTGCTGCTGTAGTTAACTTCTAGAGTGGGAGAATTTCTGATAATTAGGTTCAGATTAACAATTTAATTGAAAATCATTACGTGCATTTCCCGAACCTTGCTGGATTTGCCGTTGCGTTCATAATGTCCGTTTTCTGGAGGGGAATCTGTGCCACGGCTTCCTAATCAAATCAACAGCAGGTCTGTGCATCTGAGCAAATTGACTTGTGCAGACAGCAGAGATAGGCGTAAAGCTGTCAGGACAATTAAACGAAGAAAACCAGCACAAAGCGTATTTAGGAAAAAAAAGTTAGAATTGATTTAAAATTTACTTATTTATTGCACTGGTTCTTAACCATTTGATACTTGGCAGAATGTTGATAAAGCTCTTTACCAAGGCTGCCAAAAAGTAAGTGCTAGAAGGGAAATACAAAGCATTGAGTGTTCCCATTGTAAATCTCCATGTTTGCCATGCCTGTCTGCCTTCGTACCTGTCTAGGCATAATAGCGACGCGTGGAGCAGCTCGGCGTGCATTGCAGCAGGAGAAGGAGGCGGCACCGGGGCGTCGGCGTTGGCCCCCTGCCCGCGGGGAAGGCGGCTGGTCCCCCATCCCTCCCGGGGGGCTGCGGTCGCTGGGGCGGTCGGGGGGCTGGCTGCCCGCGCTGGGCTGTCCCTCAGTTGCCTTTAAACCCTGCCTTTGGAGATGGGGGGGTTTCAGATGGTGTTAGCTGGGGGGTTTGGGGGGGTTGTGTGATTGCATGATGCGGGGGCGTCTGCCCGGGGCGCTTCTCTGACCTGGGGAGAGCCAG